ATTATTAAGTAATAGATATATCAAATTAAAAAAAATTAATTTAGAGTTAAATTTAAAAATTTTTAAAATTAAATTAAAAGTTCTTTTAATTTAAAGATCAATCGAAGAGTTTGCATAATAGTTAAGTGGCAAATTGAGGATTTAATCATAAAAAAAAAAAGAAAAAAAGTTGCACGTGGTAGATAAGAGGTACAAGTAAGATGCACTTTCCTCCTTTCATGGTTTGTTTCTATTTTCTAATTGAAGATAATTACAATGTTGGTCAAAAATGCTATGGTGTCCAATTTGTTTGCCGACGTTATTATTGCCGAAGTAATATTTGCGTTTCTTTGACTTTGGCAAGAAACGGCGGAACAAGGCCTCAACCAATTGAGTCGCATCCGAAAACATGTTTGGTTGCTTGAAAATAGTTGTTTTGAGATCCGAAATGCTTTTGTTTTGTTTTGGGTTTCCATTGTTGTTCATTGGAAGAAGGCAAGGAAGATGAGGCTGCGAAGGGCTGGAAAGGGTTGATGACAATGGTGGTTGAGAGCAGATGCAGATCTGTTCTACTGTTGCTGCTTTGTTTGTGCTGATGCTATTTGGTGGAGGAAGGCAAGGAAGATAAGCCGTGAAGGTTGTCCAAAGAGCTGCTGACAATGGTGGTTTATAGCAAGGAGGTCGATGGAGGAAGGGGGATCTGTTATGTTCTTGACCTTTCTTCTTCTTTCTATTTTCTGCAATGTTTTTGGATTGCCGATTGCCACCAGGTGGGTTCAATGGGCAAAACGAGCTAAACGGTTGGAGCGAGCTAGACGGGTTGGAGTAGGCCAAATGTCAAAACGGGTTGAAGGTTGTATCTGACCCATTTTCAAGCTCAGGTCCGGTTGAATTGGTTCAACAGACCGAGTCGAGCCGGGCCTTAAAACAATGCTTGATAGAGCTTGGGCTAACCCTAATTGGAAAGAGAGGTTTCTGGAGGCGTGTGTAACCCATTTACTTAGGATTTCTTCTGACCATTGCCCTATTATGCTTAACCTAGAATCTTTTATCCGTAGGGTAGGGGAGAAACCTTTTAGACTTGAGAAGTTTTGGATTGATCACCATTCTTTTAGAGATCTTGTCCATGCCAATTGGGTTCAAATTTATATTTCCTTATCAGATTGCACTAAATCCTTCAAGTCTGTTGTAATTAATTGGAGCCGTTCTACCTTTGAGAACTTTCACAAGAAGAAGGAAATCAATGCTCGCATTGCGTGAATACAAAAATTCCTTCAATTTAGAACTAGTGCTTTCCTTTTTCAACTTGAGAAAGAGCTCACCAAGGAATATCAAGATATCCTTAAGATGGAAGAGGACATGTGGTTTCTAAAATCTCGCTCCTTATGGATTCAAAAAGGAGACAAAAATACTAGATTCTTTCATGTTACAATGCTCAAGAGAAGGTCCTACAACAAAATTATTGGACTCAAGAACCATGAGGGTATTTGGTGTTTAGATCCTTGCACTCTTAAGGATCTGATTCTTACTCACTTTCAAAGCTTATATACTTCATTGTTGGCTCACTCTTATGCTGACTCCTTTAGCACTATTAACAGAGGTCCCAATATTTCAATTAACTTATATGACTCTCTTGTTGTTCTTCCTACAGATTATGAAATTTGGAATACTATTCGTTCTATGAAACCTTGGAAGGCCCCTAGGCCTGATGTTTTACATGCCATGTTTTTCCAAAAGTATTGGGAGAAAGTGAAAGGCAAACTCTGTGGGGAAATTAGGAATGTATTTTCCACGGGTATCATGCTTGATCATTGGAACTATAGTTTCATTACTTTGATCCCAAAAACTCAAAATCCTAAACTTGTTTCTCAATTCAGACCTATAGGGCTATGCAATGTTATCTATAAACTTGTGACAAAAATCATTGTGCTTCGTCTCAAACCAATCATGGGTGATCTCATTTCTCTTCTTCAAGCTAGTTTTATACTTGGTAGGAAAGGGGTGGATAATGTGTTGATATTGAGAGAATTTGTTTACAGTTTCAATAAGAGGAAAGGCAGGGGATATGATTGTTAAATTGGACCTTGAGAAAGCTTATGACCGGATTGAGTGGAGCTTTATTAGAGAAGCTCTTCTATTTTACAAATTTCCTCCTACATTGATTAATATCATTATGTCATGTATTTCTTCTGCCAAATTTTCTATTATTATCAATGGGGGTAGTTCAGATTCCTTTCAACCTTCTAGGGGAATCCGTCAAAGGGATCCCCTTTCCCCATATTTGTTTAGGCTATGCATGGAATTTCTTTCTATTAAACTACAAAATGACATCGATTCTGGAGGATGGTTGGGGTCTAAGATTGGTAAGAGGGGCCCTACTATTTCCCACCTCTGTTTTGCAGATGATTTGATATTTATTGGCAAAGCCACTAGAGCCAATACTTTGTATTTGGTTAATCTACTGAATTTCTTTTGTCAGAGATTGGGACAAAAAGTTAATTTGTCCAAATCCAAAGTATTTTTCTCCAGAAATGTCACTACTGAAACAAAAACTGATATTTGCTCTATTCTTAATATCTCTAAAACCCAGGCTTTGGGCAAATATCTTGGCTTCCCTATCACTCATAAAAGGTTATCTAAAACTGATTGCAGTTTTATTGTGGATAAGGTTAGAAGTAAACTTGCTGGCTAGAAGGCTAACATGCTGTCTAGAGCATGCAAAGTTACTCTTGTTAAATTTGTCCTTTCAGCCATTCCCAATTATTATATGCAAGGCTCTTATCTTCCGGAGGCCACTCATAAGGAACTTGATAGCCTTTCCAGACAATATATATGGGGGTCTACTACGGGTAAAAGAAAGGCCAATCTGGTTTCTTGGGATAGATTGGCTCAACCAAGGAGCATTGGGGGTCTTGGTATAAAGTCCTCCAAAGATGCTAATCAAGCTTCTATGGCTAAAGCTCATTGGAGACTTCTCATAGAGAAAGAAAAACTTTGGTCCAAAGCTATATGTGAGAAATATAGTATCAAGGATCCCAAGAGCAAATTACCGAAGTCTTCCTCGGTTTTGGACAATATTGCTAAAGGAAAGCATATCATTGAGAAAGGGATTAAATGGATCCCTAAATCTGGGCAGAATATCTTTTCTGGGAAGATAATTGGGTTGGTCATAAACCACTTAAAGACATTCTTTATGGACCATTCTCACCGTCGTGTGCGGATCTTAAGGTGGGAGATCTTATTCTCCCGAATGGTGAATGGGATTGGGGAAAAATTGCTTATCCTATACCAGTTGAGATTAAAGAGTGTAGTAGAGCCATTCCACTCCAGTACTTCTCTAATCAACAAGATAATTTTTCTTGGAGTCTATCTTCTAATGGCTTGGTTCAGTCTAGCTCTGCATATTGTTTAGCCAAGAATATTTTTTCTGCATAGCTACCAAAGATCGATCACTTCATATGGTTGCTTAATCATGGGAAACTACTTACTAAAGACATGCTTTATGGTTGGGGTATCGGTGATTCTAACCTTTGCCCTGTTTACAACACTTCACCTGAAACTATTGATCATATTTTTAGAGAATGCTTTTTTGCTAGCCTCTTATGGGAGGTTTTTACTCCCCATTTTGTATGTCTATTAATCATGGATTCAGTTTTCAAGCTTGGTTAAAAACTAACTGTTGTCTGCAATCTAAGTTTAATGGGGTTAAGTGGAATACTATGTTCTCCTTCATCATTTGGTCTCTCTGGTATTTTAGGAATCAATGACTTCATCATGGCAAGAAATTTAATATCCATCTTGCTAGGATTCTATTTGCTTTAAAGTTACTAAATTGCAAAACTCTCTTAGCATGCAGGAAGCTCCAAAATCTAGATATTGCATCAATGTGTGTTGGAATTTTCCACCTATCAATTTTATTAAATTAAATACTGATAGGGCTACTAACTTTAATTCTGGACAAGCTGGAGCAAGGGGAGTGTTTAGGGATCATAAGGGCCATTGGTTGTTGGGATATACTCGAAATATTGGCCACAATAATAGCCCTGTTGCAGAATTATGGGCCATTCAAGATAGTCTTAGCCTTGCTGTTGAAAGAGGCTTTACAAAAATCATTGTCGAAACTGATTCAAAAGTTCAGTTACTTTGCCTAATTCTAACTATATTAACTTTCATCCACTTGCAACTCTCCTTGATGATTGCAGGGCCCTCCTTTGCCAAATTCCTGAAGTGCACCTGTAGCATATCTACCGTGAAGCTAATGCTGTTACGGACCTTTTGGCGAAGATAGGAACTACTTTAACTTCCTCTTTTGTTATTTTGGAACATTGTCCAACGGATATATGTAATATGTATTTTCTTGATGTAATGGGGAATTCGATTCCTAGGAACATTATTATCTAATATTATTCACATCTTATTTATACCAAAAAAGAATTCTATCAAACATCACACCAATCAATGGGCCAATACCATCAAGCTATTCTTTTAAGACAGAAACCCAAATTTACTATTTAAATGAAAGAGTAGAAATAAATTTACTTTTAAAGAGAATAAAAATAAATTATTTATTAACATAAAGTATATATTATTTAATATATGATTTCGTTACACATAAAAAGTTTATTTATTATCTAAGTTTTTTAATAAAAAATTAATGTGATAGAATTATACGTTAAATGATAAATAATTTATTTTAATTAATAATTTA